TGATTGATGTTCACCCCCTTGGGGATGTTCAATTTTTTGAGTAGGGAGACTATCCCCGTTCCTTGAGATGGGATGTGCACCCCCTTGGGGATGTTCAATTTTTTGAGTAGGGAGATTATCCCCGTTCCTTGAGATGGGATGTGCACCCCCTTGGGGATGTTCAATTTTTTGAGTAGGGAGATTATCCTTGTTCCTTGAGATGAGATGTGCACCCCCTTGGGGATGTTCAATTTTTTGAGTATGGAGATTATCCCCGTTCCTTGAGATGAGATGTGCACCCCCTTGGGGATGTTCAATTTTTTGAGTAGGGAGACTATCCTTGTTCCTTGAGATGGGATGTGAACCCACTTAGGGTTGAAAGGTAAGGGTGATGCCCAACTTTAGGATGGGGATAATTGCCCATGCGCTTGAGACCTATGGTCTGAGGTGGATGCGCACGGTTGTGCCATTGGTTCACGTGTGTGCGTCAGACCCTTTTTCTGTTTTTGAAGTAAGGACGTGAAACACTTGAAAGGATGTGAAACCCCTTGGGGTTGAAAGGTCAGTGGATGTACCACCCTTGAGAGGAGATGCCCAACTTTAGGATGGGATAGCCCCCCATTTAAGATGAGGCGATCACGAACCACTGGGGTGAGATGCCCCACCTTGGCGATATATGGTGCCACTGATTCAGTGGCAGCACGAGTTGAATCTTCCGTGATCATACGCTGAAAGTCTTCTTCGGTTATCTGAACCGTTCGAGAAGTAAGTAGAAATTGATCATGTTGAGGACCCAGTGGGGCCTCACGAGGAGGAGCGTTGGCTCCTGCTATGACGAATGAAATGTTTTGGGGGCGATGTGACCCCCAGGGAGTCGATAACCCTTGGCGAACGAAATATTTTGGGGGCGATGTAAGCCCCCAGGGAGTCGATAACCCTTGGCGAGCGAAATATTTTGGGGGCAGATGTAAGCCCCCAGGGAGTCGATAACCCTTGGCGAGCGAAATATTTTGGGGGCATATGTAAGCCCCCAGAGAGTCGATAACCCTTGGCGAGCGAAATATTTTGGGGCCATATGTAAGCCCCCAGGGAGTCGATAACCCTTGGCGAGCGAAATATTTTGGGGGCATATGTAAGCCCCCAGGGAGTCGACGGCGGTGGTGCCATAGGTGGCTCCACATGTGGAGCAGGTGCTGGTATCGCGTTGGGAGCATCTGCTCCCATCGTGGTGATATATTGAGTCACGGCCTCTGTGGCAGCGCGAGTTGAAGCTTCTGCTATCATGCGTTGAAGCGCATCCTCGGTTATTTGAACCATTCGAGGAGCAGGGAGTGGTGGATCGGCGAGTGGTGGGTCCCGAGGGGGATCACCTGAACCTCGCGAGGTGGATCCATGTGATGTGGAAGAGGTGGCAAGCCAGAGCCTCAACGGGGTGGGAGGTCGTTAGCTGTGTCATTTTCTCTCCGAGCAGCGCCTCAGAAGGATCTTGTTGGCTACGTGATCTGGTTTGCATCGTTCCCACAGACGGCGCCAAAATGATGATGCTAAAATATAGCTCACCTAGAAAATGAGCTGGGAGAGCAAAGCAGATCAATAGCTTGACAACTTGATGATCCTGAGATCCCTGCAAAATGAGCACACATAAACTACGCCGGGGGTTGATCCGGCGGAAACCCCTCCGACGCTCAAGTCAGACGTGCTGATCATAGAAATAGTCCAGAGAATACGCGTTTTTGTATTGCTCAGTTAATAGGACGTACCTTAAGGAATGAGTTCAAACATTTATTTATAGCTTAGTTGAGATTGTCGGGCCCAAACCTTACTTGAAGGTGATTGGGCCTTGGTGATAAAGGTCTTCGATATTGGGCTCGTGGCCCAGTAGGTAAATAATTTGTAGGCCCATTGGGTTGGGCCAATTAGGCATATCATTACTCTCCTTGGACACAATTCGAGTTTGCAAATCATCCCCATTGTTGGCATGGGTGGCAGTGGTAAGACTACACTTGCCAAACATGTTTACGAAAGATTTCGTACTTTGCTTCACTTTGAAGTTTGTGCTTGGTCTACAATATCTCAAAAATTTAGTGTCGGAGAAATTTCTTCGAAACTTCTTTTTCGCCAAAACACATCCCCTAGTGATACCGGCCGTGAAACAGAACAACAACTAGCACAAGAGTTGTATCAAAGCTTAATACGTAAGAAATATTTAGTTATATTGGATGATATGTGGAGTATCGAGGCTTGGGAGAAGATACAGTTTTTCTTTCCAGATAACAGCAATGGAAGTCGAATTATTATAACTACTAGGTTGTTGGACCTGGCTAGTTATTTTGGCCCGTCGTGCCTTAAAATGAGTTGTCTGGATGAGGATAGAAGCTGGAAACTATTCTGCCAAACTGCATTTGGACAAGAAGAAGGTTGTCCACGTGAATTGGAGAGAATAGGAAAGAAGATTGTAGAAAAATGTAAAGGACTCCCACTGTCAATTGTCGTGATTGGGGGGCTTCTCGGAAAGTCCCACAAGACACAAGAATATTGGGAGTATTTTGCAATAATTATTCGAAACTCAATCCTGAATTTAGAAGATGACCCTCGGAGCTTGGACATATTATCTTTGAGTTACAGCCATTTGCCTGCCCATTTAAAGCCATGTTTTCTGTACATGGGAATTTTTCCCGAGGACCGTAATATTCATGTATCCCGGCTCATCAAACTTTGGGTCGCTGAAGGATTTATCAAACCAAATAAAACACAAGGCTTGGAGGAAGTTGCGGAGGGTTATTTAAAGGATCTCGTTGACAGGAATCTGATTGCAGTTGGTAGATTGGGGTGGAATGGAAAAATTAAAACTTGTAACATCCATGATCTTTTACGAGACTTATGCTTAATGGCAGCTCGGAAAGAGAGGTTTCTTCATGTGATGGATCTTTTCGATATTCCAGGTGGCATAGATAACGAGCGTCGCATTGTGTTTGGTGATTTATCTCCACATAATATGTATGGACCTCTAGACTTTCATGGTTTGAAGCCGTCGGCGTCAGTTGCTCGCTCTTTTGTTAGCAACAGGCGTCTGCCAATGTTGAAGTTCCGATTGTTGAGGGTATTCGATGTGTTAGGTAATAATTCGCCTCTAGATGATGTTCTTGATAAGCAAGTTAACTTGCGTTACTTCCGCAAACTGTACGGCTGGGAATATCGTTTCTTTCACGTGCTGCCTTCTTCAATCTATCTGCTGTGGAATTTGCAAACGCTGATCATTAGACAAGGCGAATCCGTTATTGCTCCGCCTGAAATTTGGAAGATGCCGCAGCTTAGGCATGTGGATTGCGTAAACATGTATCTTCCGGAACCTCCTTTGAGCGACGACCAACAAGATGGATCTGTACTGATGAACCTACAAACACTTCAGACAACAATGAATTTGACGTTGAGTGAGGAGGTTTGTAAGAGAATCATCAATGTCAAGAAACTGAAGATAACGTACGACAGATTCGCGGCAATGCCATATCGATGCTGCCTCTACAATCTCTGCCAGTTAGGTAAACTTGAATCACTAAGCTGTGCGTTCGAAAGTATGCCGATTTTCGGTGGTTGGCTACATTATTGGAGTCTCACATTCCCGAGTTCACTCAAGAAGTTGTCTCTAAAAGGTTGCTATCTTCACTGCCAAGATTTGATGATTATTGGTTGTTGGTTACCAAATCTTGAAGTTCTCAATTTGAAAGAAAGGTCGATTTTTGGACCGGCGTGGAACCTTCTTCAAGAGGGAGGGTTTCTTCGTCTCAAATCCCTGAAAATTTCCTGGAATTATTTGTTGCACTGGAATGCAGACAGCTCCCATTTTCCCGCCCTGGAGAAGCTTGTTCTTGAAGATTTGGTTCTATTGCATGAGATCCCTTCGAGTATCGGAGAAATACCAACGCTTCGATCAATTGATTTGCATCGATGCAGCGATTCCGCAGCTTTTTCAGCAATGAAAATATTGGAGGAACAAAAGAGTTTAGGGAATGATGATCTTCGAGTTCGTGTCGTAACTGTGGATGACGAAATGAGGTTGTTTAAGGAGAACATAAAGAGGTGGTTTGGGAACTACTCGGACTAAATTCGAGGTGAAAAAAAGGGCCGAGATTGTTTCGTTTTCAATTTTATTTTTCGATGTTTCGTGAGTTCTTTTATCAGTATTTTGAAATTGTGTGCAAATAAATATGTATTTTGCTGGAGTGACATTTGATAATTAAGAGAGTCTGAAAATAAAGCATTTGTTTAATTTAATGTATTTTATACATGATTTTTTTTTTCTTCGAAAAACCGTGATTCGATGATTAAAGGTGAAAGAAAATCGAGAAACACATGCCGATTTGTTTTTCATTTTCAAATTTAATCTAATGTCTCTGCAATAAAAGTCGAAATATCAAAATGATACTTTCTGTCAAAAGAAAGTACAAGTATTTTCAAAATTTAATTTAATTCAAGTTGTATCAAAATAAAATTTACAACTTTTTAACCTGAATCTGCACCAAATGGGTCGGTTTCACGTCAGAAACCCTTCAAACCCGTACCCGTTTGCCATCCCTAATCATGTCAGAAACCCGTCAAACCCGTACCCGTTTGCCATCCCTAATCATGTACAATTAATACTACCAAATGAAAAATAGGGCAAATTCCACAGCAAATTTATTTATTACATGAACAGTTCATTTACAAACTCAGCTTCAATTCTACAAAAGTTAAAAAAACAACCACTATATATACTCACCTATCACTATGTGTGTACGTACGTATACCTTCCGAATTCGTATACATATTATTCTTGCATTAATTCTCCAAATATGTTTATATATATATAGATAGATAGATAAATACAGATCGAATGAGGTGTCAAGTCGAATCTCGATTACAGAGATTGTAACCAGATATAAGGGAGCTCAAGGCAAAGGCAATGAAAGCTAGAAAAGACATACTAATTGATGCAGTGGCCATTAACGTAAATTCGTCTCCTCCCCAATTTGAAATCCAGTCATCAACTCTCGTTGCTGCCGATGATGATGCTGACATCAGAATGTACGCCAAAATCTGTTTCGCACGTGAAAAGACAAATTTCTCCTTAGCCAAAAAAAAAGAACATATAATTGCATATAGGTCAACTTAACACTTGAAAATTATACGTAGTTTCGTCGACAAGATAAAATATGATTGATAAGATAATTAGGTTTTATTCGATGTTTCGTTAGTTCAATATTTTTTTAACAAATTGGCTCGAGAATTATACAATTTGGCTCTTAAAGATTTGCATGATTTAATTATTTTTACTAATTCTATATTGACCACCAAACGAAACCTTAATGGGTTGTTACGCGCTCTTACCCATCGTTTTCGGGTGGGATCAAATTCAAACAAAACACAAAATTTCATGATGCGTAATGATATTTGAAAAAGAAAACGTTTTAAATCACTTCGTAAATTAGGGAATTTGTGAATCTTGATTAAGGCTACTAAAGCTCGTTTTACTAATTGAAACTTCCGCTGAACCCTATTTGTCTATACGAACAAATTATCGCATTGACAAAAATACAGTAAAAGCGAAGCCCGATTTTCAATAATTGTTCACTTTGATATCGTAGATGTGGAAAAATTCACGAAGGGTAAAAGTTAAACAGTATACTTGCCTGATCCATTGCGAAATCGAAATGGTAATGCAGATGGTGAGAGATTACACGCTTCCCCGTGCCTAAATGGTATCCAAGATCGAACGCTTGAAAACCAGAATACGCGAATCCTATAACATTTACGGCCACACAATATCTGTGTAATAAAATCAGCATATAGAAAACAATTGTCAGATTTTTCAAGAAATTATTACAAGCACAATGCAACAACGAACACAATTACTTCATAGGCATACATATTCTACCATTTCCAAATACAGGAAAATGTAAGAAAATATATATAAAATAGACGAGATTGATTCCGAATAACATACTATTGATTAAAGAATCGAACCATTTATTACAAGAACTACTCAGTAGCTATGTAGCACAGACACGGAAACGGCGATGCGGGGAAACGGCATGTCCCAAAAATGGGGATACGGGAGCTTGCGAGAAACGTGTAACTATATATATATATATATATATATATATATATATATATATATATATATATATATAGACACACACACACATAAGTTATTTTTATATATTTCCGTACAAACATATCCAAAATAAATTTTACAATCAACTATCAATTTGCAATTGACAATTAAATCAAGTAAATAATAGGGAAGCAACAAAAATATTTGAAAATTTGTTATTCATACATGTTTCTAACTTTTTAGAAATTGCAAAATGCTCCATAAGGTGTCCGGCATGTGTCCTCGAGTGTCGGACACGAACGTGTCGGAAACTCAGAAACGTTTAGAAGTTGAAGTTTCCGTGCTACATAGCTCGGTAGTAACATGTAACATTGCAAGCAATTAAATTACTCTATGTAAATTTTTTTGATGAAAATAACATGGGAATTGTACCTGTACTCCACATATCGATCGAAAGAATCGCCGCTCCAACCTTGAGTTCGATCGGCGGCCATAACCGAAAACGAAACCAAACAAGCAATCATCTCAAACACTCTAAACCCCAAAGCCAACTTCCTCACCGCCACGTTCCTCCCTGACCTTTTCAAGATCGACGCCACCGCCGCCCTCGACCGCCTCTCTCCACCCACCTCATCCTCCCCGCCACCGCCGCCGCCGCCGCCTCCATACCCCTCTTCCAAACCCCCACCACCACCACCACCACCAACTGGCCGGCCCAATTTCTTCACCCCCGGAGGCGGCTCCTCCCTCACCATTTTATTAACTCCCACAACCGCCGGAGAAGTCTCCATATCAAGATTCTCCGTCGCAGGTTTCGCGGCAGGAATATACGGCCTCCGGCCGTCCTTTCCCTCATTTCGCGGAGGATTCGCCGGCAAATCAGGATTCTCCGAAGTGGGCTTCTCCGGATGAAGCGATTTCCGCCGCCCGTTAATTCCGGCAGCCGGGGGACTCGCCGGAATATTCGATTTTCCGGGAGAGGAGGGCTTATTATCAACCAAAACAATCGAGAGAGAATTCTTCTCGCCGGAATCATCCTCTTCGGGGCGGTAATTAGCTTCATCGGAGCGGAGGGGAGACTCCGATCGAAGAGGGGAGTGCCAGGAATCGGGCTGACTGGCGGTGGAGTCGGAATCCGACATTGATATGTGACCGTTGCTGTTTCTCCGGTGGGTTCTCTTACTGTAATTGCTCTGCTCTGCGTTTTCCATTTTCGATAATTCGCGAAAACAAAATCAGAGGTTTTTTCCGATTCTGTAATCTCCGAGGTTTGCGCTGAAATTGAAGTAAAAAAGATTTCAAATGAGAAGAGAACAACACGCACACAGTAAACCGTGATTTGAGTTTTGTGTTCTTACACGTGCGAGGTGATTTTTATTCTGTGTGGGTACGGACACGGTAAGGATTGGTGGACTTCCATTCAATTAAAGCAAGGTGGCCGTTTTTGAAATGGTTTGGTTGACGTGTCAAACTACAATTGGCTCTAGTGGTGGACGTATCATATGTTGAGAAGTTCGTGACTTCGTTCTATTGGGTTCTTCGCGAATAGCCGAATACTTTGGGAGCAGTAAAAATGCTTTACGTGGTGATGGTGTCTGCGCTATCAACGACGTCGTTTAGGAGGAAAACAAATACTAAAAAAATCAAAAATTAATTTTAGGGTAAATTACACCTGCACCCCAAGGTATGCTAAAATAGCTTTAAGGTCCCTGTAGTATCGGTAATTACAATCATCCCTGAAACATTGAAACCCTAACAGAATAATGCATTCGATAAGTTTTTTTCCGTTAAAATTCTAATGTACTATTATTTTCAGACACTGATGGAGATAACAAAGAGCTAGGCGGGTGACATGGTTCTCCTAACATTTCTCAAATCCTTGTTATTTTTTTATAAGATTTACTTATTGTCTATGTTAGCATTAACAGCCCCGCGGGAAACAAATATAGTGCATATCGGTCCCCAGGACATGTAATCTTGGCTACGGTAATTATTTCAGGGTGTGTCTATAATTACCAATATCACATGGACCTTAATATTATTTTAGTATACATCAGGAGTGTAGATGTAATTTACAATAATTTTATCTTGAGCTTAGACCAACTTATTAGTCGGGTAATATAATAGAATAAGATTCCATTTGTTTTGTTTGATAAAATTTCAAATTCATCTCGATTTGATAATAACTACATAATAAAATACGTAAATTATTTGTATTTAGTTCGTGTTTAATTTCATTAAAACATGCACAAGTTTGATTATATTGGTCAAATCAAGCTCATATACCATTTGTTAATTTATGTATTTATTTTTTATTTTTTTTATGATGAAGAAAACTGCAATCAACCATATAGCTCGTATACGATTTGTTAATTTTGATAAGATGCGCCATTAAAAAAAATTAGGTCTGTTTTTTAATAAATAAGAAAGTAGGGGTTGACTGGTATGAAGGTATGGAATAATTGGAGGAATATAATAATTTAGTTAGGAGTTGAATGACGGTCGTATTTTATTTTTGTGTTTGGTATATATATAAAAGAAATAGGAAAAAAAAAATAATAAACCGAGGCTCTTGATAACACTAAGTTAAAACTTAGTCGATCGAAAAATCACTTCTTGGTAAACTTAATCCCCATATTTGCTTCCACATTTAGCCGAGTGCGCGTTCCCGTATCCATGCAACATATCCGAACACCACCTTTAGTTCATTGTACCGAATAATCTCCGAAATTCGATCACCAATAAAAAAAAAAAACTCCTCATACCGCGTCCGTGCGACTAATTTAAGTTCAACCTAATATAGTTCTTATTATAGTAATCTAAAAAAATAAAAGCTCATAAGCAGTAGCTAATGCCACTAGCTTTTGAGATATCTTTCAAGATAAGCTGAAAAAGCAGTGTTGA